GTGTGTGTGTGTGTGTGTGTGTGTGTGTGTGTGTGTGTGTGTGTGTGTGTGTGTGTGTGTATGTGTGTACCGTGTGCAGAGCATTATGTAGAAAACGAGACGATGAATCCCGTTGAATTCAATTGCATTTATTGTTTTGTTGAATGTCTCAAGGATGAAGCCCACACAATTAATTTTTTTTTAAATTATTATTAATCGTAAATAACTTTTATGGAGGAAGCTCCTTGCCAATGTCTTGGCAGCGGTTTTAAAATACTATTATAACAGAAATACCTTAATAAAAAAATAAAAATTAATGACATACTTTTTTTTCTAAAATCGTTATACCCTGGTACTTGAATGGCTTACTAAACTCAATAAATTCGGCTCTTTCTGGATTAATAGTTAAAGGTGCTACGATCATATCCGCTTTCTCATATACTATTTCAGCTATAAGTCCAGTCCACTCTTTTTTCGTTGAACCTGAAAAAAATATCATAGTTTTAATGATCTATTTTTATTTGAAAGATAAGAAGGATATGGCAAAGCCTACCCAAAAATAAAAATTTTCAGTTAAGTTTTTTTTTGAAACTCCGAATGAATATTTTTTTAAAAGTTTAAATGGTATAACGTTTTTTCAGATCCAAAGTTTCAAAACATAGGATTTTATTTGTTTATGTTGGCTTCACCATCTCATTATGAAGCTTTATTTACATATTATACAAGTATAATTTCGTAGAAATATCATCGTAGAATTTTTAGACGTTTCTTGTGCCTAGTATTTTTGCAGATTTCCAGTGTAGTTGTACGTAATTAGTGTGAATTTCGTAAGACTGTGATGAAAATTAAAAAAATTATGACGAAAAAACACAATTTTCAAAATTGGTATTATTCCAAATCTTACAAAAAGCCTTGCTGATGCGTTTGATCGATTTCCCGAGCATTCAGTCGACTTTCAGCTCGCACAGAATACTCGTGCTACCTTCTCGCGCTATGCGACTCAATCACGTCGCTGGGTTTGATGTGAAGACGAGGATTCAGAAGGCCATTAGGTGGTTGGTGTTTCACCATTCATCAAACCTCAATCAGCAACACACACTTCGTCAACATCGTGAGTCACTTCAAGCGAACACACACACACACACACACACACACACACACACACACACTTCGCCAGGTGGAGTCAGCCCACCGACGAGCCTGCCTGCGTGTGATCAGTGGCCGGCCGCATGTTTCTTACGAGGCGACACACGTCCTTGCCGGCATACTTCCACTGGCTCTCCTCGCGGACGAGCGAACGCGGCTCTACGGCTGCCGCCGAGAGGACGCAAAGGACGATGAACGCTAGGCAACGATAAGCAAACGGCAGGAAGCATGGGACCAGTCGACGAAGGCCCGATGGACGCACCGACTGATCCCAAATATCAGAGTGTGGATCGAGAGGAGGCGTGGAGAGTATAACTACCACCTCACGCAGCTCTTGTCCGGGCATGGCTTCTTTAAACACCATAATCAACGCTAAGATCATAATCAAAGCGCTCAATGCCCGGTTTACCCCTCATCCATCGAGAACAGGGAGCATGTATTCTATCACTGCCCGAAGTTCAGCGAAGAAAAAGAGAGGCTACAGGCCCTGCTCCACGAGGTCATGACGCTGGAAAACCACCAGGCTCATGTTCGCGAGCGAGCCGAACCGGTGGAAATCATGCCGGAGTTCGGAAGGGCCACTGGTGCAAGGGTTTACCCTGCCCACGTCCTCTCCATAAAACAAAAACACACACGCACACTCTAGAATAATGGCCTCCTTGGCTCAGTGGGTATAGTTTATAGTTCTTGCCATCTGATACAAGGATGTGCCGGAGGGTGTGGGTTCGATTCCAACTGGACGAATATTCGAGGGTGTTTTTTTTCACCTAGTGTGATCAAACCCAGACCTGAAGTAGAGCGGGTACCACTCAAAAATAAGACCCGGGCTAAGTCATCAACCTTCGGAGTCGGTAAAAAAACCCCGATCACTGTGCGAGCTGGAAGCGAAGAGGATAACCATGAGTAGGAGTCCGAGACAAAGGCAAGAGAGCATCAACCTCAGAGCCGGAGATTGCGGCATTCCTGTATCTGGTACCTTGGCGAACACATCGATGCCAAACTATGATTTGATCAAAATTTGAAAATCTTCAGTGACAAAGCCCCTCGAGTCGCAAGTTCGTCGAGGAGCAGTCAACGCAGTCTCTAAGTTAATGACGTTGACTCGATTCTACTTTACGGGGGTCTGACGTGGAAGGATTCTGTGAGGATGCAAAGATACATCCATCAGGCAGCGTCAATCCACCGACGTACAATCTGTGGTTTTCGCAGCATTTCTCACAAGGCTGTAAGTGTTCTCGCCAGCGCTCCTCCGCTGGCCCTTCACATAAATGAGAGCTCGAGGCTTTATGCGTGTCTTTGCGAGGACCTATGCCACAGGGGAGGAACATTCCAAAATACTGGAGAAATGGGAGGCTTAGTGGGCGTGCACAAAAAAAGGGCCAGTGATCATAATCATGATAAGGGTCAGTGAAGATAATCATAACAGCAATACAGAGTGCATTGATTTCAAAACAAGTGAATAATCTAAAGCACAAGACTCAAACAGCAAATCTTTTGAATGTTTTAAATGTGGAATAAAGGTTACAAGAATAAGCAGACTGTCATGGAACATCTTGTGCGAAGTACACTAAGGGCTGTAAAAACACAAACGGTTGCAAAATTTGTAAGAAAAAATGTCACTTTGCCAAGGAATGTACTAAAAAAGATTGAAGTCATGATGACAAATCAGATGGAAAGAACCTAAGCAACAAAAGTAGACATACCTGAATTTCTGTAAATCTGTCTGCTCAAAATGTGTGCAATAAAATGTCAGTAGATTTCAAAAATAGCTGGTATCAATACTGTGGTGGTATAGAGCTCATGAGTTATTGTAGGATGTGGTTCAGCCACTATGTTAAATTGCGAAGCCCATGAATGATCAGAGTAGTTGATGGAGGATCTACTTGAAAGCGTATAATGGTCATGTATGGAATAAAATAATATTGAAAAATGTGTTATACACTCCAAAAATTCTATTTAACCTTTTTTCTGGGAGCACCATATTAGACAAAGATTACAAGAAATCAGCTGATGCTACAATGTCACTATATAAAAATGATCAAGGCTATGTCACAGTGAGAGCATTGATAGAAAGTAAATTCTACAAAATAGATTTTCAACAAGAAGTGACAGATTAGCGTTTAGTCAGTGTATTCATTAGACAATCGCATGGAAAATTCACTCATCAAAATGTAAGACCCGTCAAAAACATTTTGAACAGAAATGGCATTACAGTGATAAGTGGAATAACTATTTTTGTGAAGGATGTGTATTGTGGCAAGCAGTATAGAGTACTACATCCATTAAATAAAAAGACCACTGAAATCTTGGAATTGGTTCACGTTGACTTGGATGAGATGAATATACGTTTCTTGGGAGAAGCCAAATATTTTCTACTTTTCAAGGACGATTACTCTCATTATAAGTTTATTTTCTCAAAGAAAAGGAGCAGAAGCGCGTCTGAGATTATATGTAAAGCTTGTACAAAATCAATTTAACAAAATGATCAAAGTCTTGAGATCAGAGCCATTGGGCAGACGAAAATTTGTTTATAGAATTTTTTATCGAAGGAAAAATATGTATTGTCGAAAAGAAACCGAACACTTTCTCTCATCTCATCAAAGGGTATACGACAATTTTTCAACGATGATTAGCCTCTATCTATAGCGCTCAAGACTAGATCACAAGGAATGCAAGAGAAAAGGTAGGTTACATCTAAAGAAATGAGCGTATGGTTGTCTGGAATTATCATGTTATCAATCAATTTTTTGAAATGTAAGCTGTTGTCAATGTGCGATCGCAGTAACGGTATATTATTCTTAATAGTATCATAAATAGTCTTAGCTAAAAAATGTGTCGGACTGTTAATGGTAGAAATGATCAGTCGCAAGGGAACATCTTTTTTGTGTATTTTGGAGAGCCCGTAACATTTCGCAAGAGTAGTGTTAGTCAGAGTAAGTGCGTTTTTATGATATTTTATGCGAAGATATTGTTTCTCATTAAGGGCATTCAAGAATATCTGTACTCTTTTTCTCAATTTGTTACAGGGATTGGCTTTAATTTTGACATAAATGTTAGTATCAGATAATAAGGTCTTCATTTTTTTATTGTACTCATCTTTTAAGATGCAAACCGTCTTGTTGCTCTTGTCCGAATTAGTAAAAAGTATGTAAGGATTATCCTTGATGAAATGTTGAGTGCGTTTGACCTGGTCGATAAAAGTTTTCTGTGCTTGTGTAGTAGACTGTCCGTTATTTCCCGAATTGCTCCAATCCTGGCTCTCACCCCATGAAAGCTCATCATTTGGCTCACAATGAAAGAAAATCACTGTCCGACCGCGATTAATTAACTCTAGATAGTGCCACACGCGTCAGCTTTTTTCCATTTAAATAACATGGAGAAATTAAAAAAAAATGTAAATTGAAGTTTTAAACCACTTAAAATCGCTAAACCTTGGGATTAGCGACGGTTTTCACTCCCTGGTACACCCATAATGAGTAACCAATACTTACGGGAACCTTCCGAAAAGAATTTTGAATTTTGCACACACGATATACTCAAAAAATGAAGAAAAACAGCATATAAGCGTTGTTTTTCGATATTTTACAACAAAACTGAGCGTAAACGATTATCTTAGATATGTTACCGTCAAAGTAGAGATCAAGACCTTTAATTTGAGGGTAATAAAACCTATTTATGTTCATTAGAGCCAAAGTTACAGGCGTTTGAAGTTTCATTGAAAAATCAGGTATCGAATCTCGTCCGGCCGACCAAACGCGCGACTCGCGGCTCGCTGTAATCGCAACTCGTACAAATGACAATGTAATTAAACTAGAAAAATAATCAAACATGTGGTTTTTATGCGTTTTTTTCTCAGCTTTCACGTGGTGTAGTCGCATTTTTCAATAATTTTCATTTTCCTACGGAAAAATAGACTTGAATATTTATTTCCTATTTTTCCTAGTGAACATGTAAATTATCGAAAAATCCGACTACACCACGTGAAAGCTGAGAAAAAAACGCATAAAAACCACATGTTTGATTATTTTTCTAGTTTAATTACATTGTCATTTGTACGAGTTGCGATTACAGCGAGCCGCGAGTCACGCGTTTGGGCGGCCGGACGAGATTCGATACCTGATTTTTCAATGAAACTTCAAACGCCTGTAACTTTGGCTCTAATGAACGTAAATAGGTTTTATTACCCTCAAATTAAAGGTCTTGATCTCTACTTTGACGTTAACATATCTAAGATAATCGTTTACGCTCAGTTTTGTTGTAAAATATCGAAAAACAACGCTTATATGCTGTTTTTCTTCATTTTTTGAGTATATCGTGTGTGCAAAATTCAACATTCTTTTCGGAAGGTTCCCGTACAAGTACAAGATTATTTTGTACCTATTTTTTTCATTGCCAGATTTTTATTTATAATTTATAACATATTTTATTCCAGATATTTTGAATAGAATGAATAAAAATTCATTTATATATTTCTTACTTGTGTTCTGAAAACTGTAGCTTCCAAATTCTCCATCAGAAGAGAGATATAAGCTGTAGGTGAAATTGATCGTTTTAGATAATTCTCTTAGCAAATCTATACAGTACCCTCTACAACAGTTTTTTTCATTCTCATCTGTAAATAATAATTATTCAAGATTAGGAAAATGTAATTTTTAATACAATTTGTAATTATTTATGAGTATAATATAAGCATGCATTGCCATTAAAAATTGTAAGAAAAAAATACAGTGATGAGAAATTAAGTCGGAGCTCACAGTAAAATAGTTTTATAATTCCCGATTTTCTAATGACAAAACTTTCAGAAATATTTCTCTATATTCTCTCATAGTTTCATGTCACCGGCAGGATTACCTCGCCGGCGCTGCAGCTACTAAGCGGGCTTCGAAACAACTATTGAACGGTCTTTTCCAGGGCTAAATCTCGCTTCGCAAAACATATCAAGTCCACCTCGGACTTGTAAAACTACGCCTAAATTGTCTTTTTCAGGGCCATGGACGAACCGACGATTGGGTTTCAAAGTCTCAGATAAGACTTGATTAGCCAAGTAGCCAATTATACCAATATAAGCCAAGTAGTAAACTACTTAGCTGATACGCTTCAATCAGTTTGGACTCTTGTCCGAAAGACGTAGCTGATTAAGCTTCAGACGGTCTTTCTCAGGGCTACCCTGGGAGTTGATCATTTCTCCATCGGCCAAGAATTTCTTCATTCGGCTGATCAAATCATCAGACCTCCAGTGGCACTCGGAGGGCCCTCGTCAGGGCCACCATTGCGGTTTGGAACTGGAAACCCAGTTCCTCTCCACTTTTCCCCTCCACCGCTACACGACGCTGGATCTTTTATAATGGATAAAAGACGCCGGAGGGCCGCCCGGACATCATTCCTTTTAAGACTGCCGAGGCAGCACAGCCGTTGATGGTTCAACTAGCACTTTATTGAAACTTTTCGTTTGCGGACAAAGAATTTCTGTACGTATCGAAACTGCTCGTTTCTAGACAACCAACCCTGACTATTCCGTCCCACCAAAGTAGTTCACATCGTGTTCTTAGAAGATTTCCAATAAAATTACCAATCAAGTAAATAATCAATTACCTGATCACAACAACGCTTTATCCAAACATTTTTCTGACACGCTCACGAAATTAGATATTGTTTTCAACTGTGAATTTACCATCTGTTTCATGTGAATGAACTCAAGGAAATTTTCACGCGGAAGTGAAAATTGTAATATACAGTAAATTTAAATTTGTTAAAGACTTCATTAAAGTTCTTGTTATCTTGGACGTACACATTCACTATGACACTACTCATTTAAGTGAACGATTGCCAAGTGTTGTTTGTAGGTCTACCAAGCAACCCCAATCTTTCTGATAAAAAGATACCTAATGAAACCTCAGCTATTAATCTTTGTGATGCTCTAGATTGGGCTAACAAGGAGACCACATGAGATGCGGGTCACCAAATGTCCTGAAAATTTTTTTCTGGTCTGCTGGTACCTAATAATGAAGCCCCCTATGCTTAGTTTGATCCAATGGGCCTTAAGGCCCATTTTAAAAATCATTCTCTTATTTATTGAAAAATCTTTGTGATTTTCTAACTCGTAACAGGACATCTTAAACGAAAAATTGCATAATGCACAAGTCTTAGAATTAGTCAAAGAATAGATTTGAATTTTTTCAGAATTTTTGACACCTGCTATCACTTATTTTCAAAGGCCCAAATTTGACGTGCTTTTACGATTTTCTTAAGAACTTCAGAGACCTTCGAAAATAGGTGATAGCAGGTCTCAAAAATTCTGAAAAAATTCAAATCTATTCTTTGACTAATTCTAAGACTTGTGCATTATGCAATTTTTCGTTTAAGATGTCCTGTTACGAGTTAGAAAATCACAAAGATTTTTCAATAAATAAGAGAATGATTTTTAAAATGGGCCTTAAGGCCCATTGGATCAAACTAAGCATAGGGGGCTTCATTATTAGGTACCAGCAGACCAGAAAAAAATTTTCAGGACATTTGGTGACCCGCATCTCATGTGGTCTCCTTGTAAGAGGCTTCAATCGAAAAAATCAACGGTCAAAATTTATTAAAATTTGACAAGGAATTCAAAAAAAGTATTTTAAAACTTGTTTACGGGAACCTCCGGGTTCCAGAAACCTTTTTTGTTAAAAATAGCGTTTTTCGCCTTTAGACGCTATCACCTTAAATTAAAAAATATTTAAAAATTTGAGATCATTTATTTTGATGAAAAAAATTCGAAAAAATTTTTTTCAGATTTTTTGAGGCTCCGTATAGCCCTAAAAAATTATTTTCGTTAAGAAAAAATGATTTTCAGCTCTAGGCTTCAGCGGCATGAGTGAAAAATTCTGAAAAAATTCAAGGAATCATTTTTTGGTGTCAGAATGAAGAAAAAAAATATTCCGGTCTGAAAAGAAAATGATTTGAATTTTCAATGATTTTATCTAAAAGCCTGAAGCACTCAAAAAATTTGAAAAAATTCAAAGTTGTTTACATAGCTGAAAAGTACTTTCGTGAATTTTTCAGATTTTTCAATTACTTTAGGGCTTCAGAATAAATATAAATTGAAAATTGACGTTTATAGCGGGGGTGAGGGTAGGAGGGGGGAGGGGGTTTAAAATTTAAGTTTTGGGACCTTTTTTCAATGTACTATAACTTACCTATCGACAAACACAATCTCTCGTTAGCAATGTTTCTTTGCTTTACTAATTACACACCAATGTACTCGAAGGCACTTTCATATCAACACGCGATTCCCTCTCGCACAACTTACACGAAATACTCAATATTTCTCTCATACACAGCTATTTGCTATCGACAACACACTTGTCCTCTCGCGCTCGTAGTTCACTCATGAATACTTGTTCACTCCTTCGCTCTCACACATGGCGCGTTCTCGCCAGAAATAAAACCTACGACCTTTTGAGCTGTGTTGCCTTTGTGACTAGCACGTTAACCACTGAGCCAACGATCGCTCCTTGGTCCTAATGCGTTAACTTCTCTTACTGAAGGTAGTAGATATGTGTCAGTCAGATTAATAATCCATTTGTAATTGATATTATTGTTTGCTATCTCTGTTGTTACTAGTGAGCCTCGTAACTGAGACAATTTTTCATTTAAGTCTGGGAGTTATCATTTGAAATTCATGTCTATTTGTCGAGTTATAATACTTATAAAGGATTCCTTTCTTTATCCAGCCCATGTTTAAATTACCTCATAATTTGTTCAATCGTTTACATAAAATATTAAGATGTGTCCGAATGTTAGCAATCATCGCATCAAATAACCTGTAAGTATATTTCACATTCCTTTTTGGAAACCAACATTTGCAAGTCTCACTACGTAAATTCGCACATGAACGGATTCTACTCTCAACATTCGAAATTTTCCTGGGAGCGACATTCAGTCTCTTACATTGTACCAAAAAAATCTTTCTTGCGTTTGTTTATGTTAATCCTTTTTTTCGAGAGTAGAACTCGTTGTCACATAACAACTAAAATTACACATGTGTAACCCCTAGATATTAATTATGACTTCATTTATAATTGTTTCTATTGAGATGGATTTTAAATAAATGAGATAATTAAAAAAAATACCTTTCATTGATGAAGAATACTTGTAGTAGGGGCATAGTATCTCATCTTCTCGACACTCTCCTGACTTTTTTTTTCGAGCATAAACAAACGGCTTTTCTTCAATAGTTAATACCTTCAAGTGAGTAGGAATCAAAAAACCTTCTGGCTTATGTTTCAAATCTCCAGGCCATACGATATTAGAATCACTCATTAATAGTTTCATTTTTTTAACATCCTGAAAAATATTTTTAATTTTATTTTCGTAAAGGTCATGATAAAGCATTTAATAAATTTTTTCATTATAGAACTCATCGTTTTAATAATATTTTAAAAATTCGTATGATCTCTTTAGATTAATTTTTAGTTAATTATTTTTGTCCTATGGTTATAGAAAGTTTGAAAAGGTTTGTGGTAAACTAGTGACCAGACCTAGTGGACTTCATGTTTTTGGGGTTGCTGAATCCGAATCTGAGGTCAGTTTTTCAAGGTTGGCTCATTTTCAAAGTTATGTGAAGGTCAAATAAAGGAAAAGTGGTAAAAAAGCTGATAAAATTCACATCAGAGTTTTTGAGGATACTGAATCCAAATCTAAGGTCAGATGACCTTTATGAGGTCACCTTCAAGGTCATTTGGAGGTCAAACCAAGAGAATTCAATATAAATATCCGAAAAATATCATATTAATGTTTTGAGAGTCGCTGAAACTTAATCAGAAGTCATTTTCACTGTTTCCGACCTGTCAAGGTCATTGGAAGGTCAAATGAAGGGTTAGATCATAAAATAAGGTGAAAAAAATCTGAAAAAATTCACATGAGTTTTTGAGGATGCTGAATTCAAATCTGAAGTCAGATGACCTCTATGAAGTCATCTTCAAGGTCAATTGAAGGTGAAATTAATAGAAAGAAGTGAAAAATTCAGAAAATGTTCATAATTCTGGATGCATTTTTACTTTTTTTTGTAACGCATCTTTTTTCTTTAAATAATCGGCGTAATCGTTCCCGATTACGTTTTTTGCCTTTTCGACATTCATTACTCAGTCATTATGACCCAGTTGAAAAAAATTGCGTGGATGTCCACGTGGATCATACAAGGATTCCTCGAGAATCGGACATTGATTCCACGTGGACCGAACATGGATCATACACAGAGTCCACGTACGTAAGCATCGTGGATTTATGAGATATCCGCGTTTATTTTCGATGAACCCTCGAGGATGTTTCGAGCACGTGCTCGCGAACAAGTCCAAAATCCAGGAGGATTGAAAAAAAATCAATGTGGATCAGTTGAAAACTCGCGGTGATTGCATTTTTTCCACACCATGATCGATCCACACGGAATCCCTGTATAATCCACGTGGAGTCCCTGCATGATCCACGTGAAATCCCTTTACGATCCACGTAGATTACTAATCTTCGTGGATTTCCACGCGGATATTCATGCAATTATTTTTAACTAGGTATTTATTATTGATACCACTACTCCATAATGTTTATGTCTTGATGGAATCGTTCGAAGAAATGCAGTTTATAAGACATTACATTCCATTTTACCGAAATTTTTTATCATCGCTGATATTAAAATTTTGTAATCACCTAATCTGTTATTACCCCGAAAATTTTCTACAACTTTTTTAAGCTTACCAATACAGCTTTTTATATCGTAGTCATCTGAGTTGGAAAATTGTGAAATTTCTGCAATTTTCTTACTTTTCGGTTCATCAAATATGCCTTTTTAGATTTTGCATCAGATTTATAAGAAAACTTATAAGTCCCGTCCAGCGAAAAGTGAAAACGATAATAAGGAATATTAGATGAATTAATTATGATTGAATTAGGCTCAGGCCTAAGTTCATAGTTAATTAACAATTGTATCTCGGAGAAAGGTCTCAAACAGATTCAGCGTACGCACCCATCTCAACGAGGCGTGATCTAAATTTTTTCTCTCTCAATTCTCTCCAACTTACACTGCGACTCTTCACGTAGACGCAGATCCTTAAGTTGGGCTGAATTAACATGTCGATATAGATAATAAATGATTTTACTATTACATGATAATAAATATCTGATTCCCAATACTGATTTCCCTTTAACGCCAAAATTGGAAATAATATGTAAGCTTTACAGGCAAGGTCCAGCCCGAGGAGTACATTTGAGAAGGTACCTACAGACAACGTGACCAACTTCACAAGAATAACAATTAAGAAATACTAGGTATAAGAAAGTAAGTAGTGTTTACAAAGTCTATGTGCACAAAGCAAGTATGTTTCGAGTCCTGTTGCTCATCTTCAAGATATGATTCATATAAAAGATTTTGCGAATATCAGTAGAATGTGTAAATTAGATATTGAACCTTAATAGTAGCGTAAATTTATTACTAAATTATTTAAGGAAGAATAATGAGTGATTTACTATTATGTAGATATATTCAATAGAAATGGCTACAGGATTTATATATGAGTACTCTCGCCGATTGATTAAGGGTGTGTCGAAATATTAAGTGTGTGTTTTATTTCTTAAATTATAATTTCAAAAACTTGAACTTTTAGGCAAAAGTGACTTTTGCCTAGGCAAAAACCGCATTGCCTAAATAAGTATAGGAAATTCCTAAATTTCTTAGGCAAAGCCCGCAATGCCTAAGCAATTTTAGGCAAAAACCGCATTGCCTAAAAAATTTTAGGCATTACTGTAAACAATAACACGTTAGCATACGATTAGTCAGCATCTAAGCCGGACTTATTTGTTAGTTTTGTTTATAACCCAATATGGATACAAGCTTATACTCTCACTAGTTACTTAACTTAAAATGAAGTAAAAATAAAGATTGAAATCGATAATTGGAAAAATCAGTTTGTCGCCGAGGCTAACGAAAAAGAACATTATAAATGTTATAAATACCGACTTATCTCCAAGATCAAAACAGGTAGTAGCATTAAATACTAGTGTACCACTTGAAAATATCTTTGATATCATTCAAGCCGTGCAGTTAAACTTAAAAATGTGTGAAGTCTGTCACCAGAAAAAAATAAAGAGAAGAAGGGGGTTGTTATCCAAACCAATTTTCCATTCAGAAATGAATAGTAGATGCCAGGTGGACTTGATTGACTTTCAATCATCAAGTGTCGATGGGTTTAAGTTGATAATGGTATACCATGACCATTTGACGAAATTTGTAGTTCTGAATGCATTAAAAACAAAACTTTTGTATTCAAATAAATGCGCATTTTTTCACTTTACATTAATTTTTTACTTAAAATTATTAGCTCGCAGTAACGCCTAAAATTTTTTAGGCATTCCTAAGATTTAGGAAGTTCATATATCTCTGCGGTTTTTGCCTAAAATTTTAGGCATTTCTGTTTTTGCCTAGGCAAAAGTCACTTTTGCCTAAAAGCGGGGTTTGCCGGTAACATATATACCTTGTAAATACAAGGTATTTATATAATAAAATTTTTTTTTTTTTCAGTCATCGATTTTCCAGATTTTTTGGGGAGGCCAGAAATTGTCTATTTGACATCAGTTTTTCTCAGTAACTTTTTTATGAAAGTAGTTGTCTATTTTGATTTAAAAAAGAGTAGATTTGGTAATTTTACTGATATTTTAAAAATATTAAGTGAGGAGCTGCAGCTACTGAATACTCAAGTTTTTCAAATATATTAAACCTCCGAAACGATCCCTGTTGAAGCTAGCAATATGAATCATTTTATCTTTGCAAAAGGTATTTTATATTGCAACAATGAATTGGTTGAAAATGTTGCTTTAGCCGACGCGCTTTAACAGTTTTAAGGTTTTTTGATATCTTTAGAAAATTATTGTATTTTAGCGGCTCACAATTTTTTATTTATTTCGCTAAGTTTTGATGAATGTTTTGAAAAAACTACAGAGTCGATCACCAAAACGACTGTTTTTAGTAAGGCTATATATACACTCAAGATTATTAAAAAAAATCATAAATACAATGAAGGTGATGATTGCACCTTAGAAAACAATTAAAAATTAGCATGATAAATGCTGTTAATGTTACTCAGGACGTCGTAAAACTTAGCAAATAAAATATACTTACAGGTGAATACACATATTGTCCCACTGACTCAATTTTTCTAGGTGACTTAACATTGAGAATATCATATTCGGCATATATTCGGTCTCCATTGTCATCAAATGCTATTCGACCAGTCTGACCATAATCAATTTTTTGTTGTTTTATAAATCTACATAAATACAATGTTAGAGCGTGAATTCAAGTTTCATGTCATAAATTCTATTAATAATATAATTTTATTGATAATTGTAATTCAAGCAATAGTATAGCGCAAAAACCCACCCCGAGATAGCGGAGCCTGCAGGTACTCTTTCCACCAAATAACGTTTCGGAAAAATCCGATTGTACATTGTCGGGAATCAAACCTACGACCCCTTGGACGGTGTTGTCCCCGTGACCTGCACGCTTATTATTATTTCTCTGCTCTAAACCGCTATAGACGTATTTACGTATTGCTCTACAAGTATTGCTAATTTTACCTAGTTAAAATCGGAATAAAAATTTGGTTCTTGTTGTGATCTGTTACAAATAGTGTTCCCTATACGTTGAGTTTTTGAGTGCGCTGTGGTCTACGTACTTTTCCTGCAAATTTAATAAAAGAGTTTTGCTACCGAGAAGTGTGAAATTTGCTTAGTCAAAACTTGTTGACATTTGTGAAAGATTGATTGCCCGCCTAGCCAGTGTACATTGACGTCATTATCGACTTATTGTGTATTCATTGAATTCATCTTGAGCGTTATTTACTATGGACATCAGGAAATTTGAATCTTCGTCTGATTCTGACAAATTAATTGTTATCTTCAAGCTGCTAACTAGTAATAATGACACCACTCAAGCCTTATTATCGGAACTAAAATGCGTGAAATCGGAAGTCGCCAAGCAGAGTAAATGCATTGAGGAATTAGAAGCGGATAATGCCTTTCTGCATCGTGAGGTGCGCAGTCTAAAATCAATGCAGTACAACGATGCTTCGAGCACAGAATTGAAAATTTGTGGAATTCCATCTGTTTCATCAAAACAACCACACAAGATTGTTGATGCGGTCCTTGAACACCTAAATCTAAGCTCTATAAAAGGCGATGTTATCAAAACTCGTTTACTGTCAAAGTTGGATGACCAGAAAAATATGAGAAGAAAAGATCGCACTCATACCGCTGCTTTCAAGTCTACTGCAGTGCGAGACTTTGTGATTCAGACAAAGATAAAAAATGGCCAACTAAACTATGGAAAACTTTTCAAAGATGATTGCTCAGACTTGATAATGAATTTGTACGCAGTGGAGTCTCCCTACATACACAGATTAAAACGTCAAGCCAGAGAATTAGCCAACAAACATGATTATTCCTGGATGTGGATTCGAAATAATACGGTTATTGTAAGCAAGGATGATAACTCTCCACACATATGTATTGTCACCGAAAATGACCTCAGCAAGATCGTATGAAGAAATTTGAAACAGAGTGATTTTTATCAATGAAGAGCCTGTGCTTATATACCTTTTTTTATCTTTTATTGAAAATTGTAATATAATTGTAATTGTTTTATTGAAAAATTTATTGCGTAAATTGAAAATAATTGTACTACCTAAAAATTACTTATTCAAGTGCTAGAGATTAAGTTGAAGTGCCGAATTTTGCAAATTATCAAAATTATTATAGACTATAATCTGCCTTATATGTTACCATGATCTTACCGGACTTATTGTCGAAAATGTTTGTTGTTATCATTTGCAATTTTGTGAAGCTGTTTGAGACAGCTCAAATAATTTTGTTCTACTTTGTTCATTTTTGCCAGCCAAACTGTCCCGTTGGGATTTGGCTTCAATAAATGTTAACTAACTAACTAACGCTAACTACTGAGCCAACGACCGCTCGAGTCATGAGAAATGAGAAATTTTCAGTTACAATAACGTTGTAGTTTCTGAAAAATGTACAGATTGTTTTAAAAGTTTTCAAAATTTCATAACAGAATATGTGATAATTATTAATTATTTAATTACAAGAAGTAATGATAACGAAAACTTTTGCGTGGCCAGTCGCCCGACGGAGATAGCTTTTCATCGGTGATGACTGGCTATGGTATCAAAAATGACCGTCAGCCAATTAAAAATTTGAGTTGGGATCAGTGGAGTTCAAACTTGCTTCGATTTGACAAAGTACAGTTATAAATTCTTCACTTATGAGCTTGGTTCCGTCAATGACCCTTAACTGATTTTGACAGCTGCTTTCTAAAGTCCTTCCAAGCCCTCAGAAGGATTAAATTTCCATTTTATATCACAACTCGCATCGAATCAAATGGCGGCCTCAGATTGCTCTGAATAGGCAATCACTCCAAACATCAATCGGAGGGCCTCGGCGAGAGATGAAGCGCTTGAGTGCAATTATGAACGATGAAATGTCGCATTTAAAAACAAGTTCAAAATGAATAGCTTTCAGCGCCAAGCATTCAAAGACCAAAATGTAGCACTTAATAGGAATTTTTCTTCATCTGTCAAAAGATCGCACCCTCCAAGGGGGTGAATTTCCTTCAATAGCGTCTTCTTGAAGTCGACAGATTGAACTGCGTTCCTCCGTGTATCGCAAGCTTGTGAGCTTCTTGTATCAACGGCCGTGCTAAAACAGATTCCCCGGGTAGTATTCCCTGGAAAGTCTCATCTGGATTGAGTAAAGAATGCTTGAGTCCTCCTAAAACTCTAAGTATCTCGTCTATCAATATTGGATTCAATTATAAGATTCGACTCGATGCAGGCGATGGCTTCCTTTCTTTTCGTTAAAGCTTAGATTTGAGCAGCTCTTGGACAGAAACTACTCGGGATAGAATATCCGTGGGATCTTTGAGTTCGATGAGGAATAGCATCAGGAACACAAAGGGTCGAATAAACACTTACACAATTCCCTTATAGACACACAAAAAACTTTATTGAACGTAATGATATTTGATCTCAATTACATGTCTACGTTTATTCCCACACACTAAGCAACAAGCTTCAGTTGTCATATTGTCACAATGAAGAGTCATTGGAGTTAAGTCTCTATCTAACATAAGTTTAATCGATTGGTGAAATCCAATCAGTTCTTGGCAGGCTATGCTCATAGCAACATACTCGCTTTCGCAGGTGGAAAGTGAGACAAGATGAACTTTTCTAGTTTTTCACGCGATTGCATCGCCGAACAGTCTTATTACGTAACCATTTGTTGTCAATGAGCCTTTACAGTCTGCATAACTAGCATCTGAGTAGCCCTCAAGTCCGTCTAACTTCCAGGTGAATTATAGGCCGATGTGCTTAGTCTGCTTTAAGTATCGACATACTCGTTTGACCATGGACCATTCAAGCGCTGTTGGATTTATTTGATGTCTACTTAGTACGTTTACAGCATATGAAATGTTTGGTCTAACTGTGCTTGCTAGGTATCGGTGGATTTTCCATTTCATCTTTTCGGGCTGATTTTCATACCATACAGTGCCCGTTGCAGCTTGCACATCAACTTTTCTCGTATTTCATTGGTGCATTCCATTCTTTCTGGGATTTCTATGAACACATCGTTTTCGATTGTCCCATTGAGGAAAGCTGTTTTCTAGTCAAGCTGACAAACTTCTAGATCCAGCTTATTTATGATGACCAGAGCTGCTCTGATGATTTGCATCCGAGACCCAGAAGCGTATATTTCATCAAGCTCGTAGTCATTTTTGTCCTTGAAGCATCTGCATACTAATCGAGCTTGGGTTTCGTTTCAGCATTTATCTTGAATCAATGATGTTCGATTTTCTGTCATTCAAACTTATAGGTCTATCTACCAATGTCCAAACTTGATTTTCTCTCATAGCCTCAAACTCTGCATGTACTGCATTTAACCATTCCTTTCTTTCATAACACTTCATAGCTTGTTTAAATGACGCTGGTTCCTTTTGTACTCGAGCAATCAATGCTTCATTTGTCAGCACATTAAAATCTGAGTCTATCTGTTGCTTGTCATCGTCTACAGTTTCGAGTTGCGAGTACGAACAAGTCTCACGAGTGTTGTCCGTTTGTCATTTCTCTCCCTCCGTTTCTAATGACTCTGATGTCGTCTCATCGAATTTCACAAACCAGCTTTCTTTATCAATTTCCATCATTGGATTTCTCCAATGGAGCACGTCTCTTCTATCATATCTATCGCCGAACACAAATCTTTCGTTGAATCGAACATGTATGCTCTCATATAATTTTCCTTCTTCGGACTTGAATAATATGTATCTAGTGTTTGAAATGCCAATAAGCACCATTGTCTCATTCAGCCGGGAGAATATGGTTCCATTGTGTCTTTGAACTTTCATGTATGCTAAAAAGCCAAAACGTTTGATCTGTTTTAAGTTGAGTTAACATTCCGGATTAAACTTTTGTAGTGGGCTAATCATATCATTCGAGCTGTGAGGAGTCCTGTAGTAGATGAATGCTCCAGCGTATCTGGACGGCGTAAGTTTTAGAATTGTTCCTCTCTTTGCAGCTAGATGTGTTGTTAGTTTCGTAATCACGTTTACGAGTAGATATATATGCCATAACATTTCTCTTTACAACTTGTTTAACTTGTGATGTGTTTATTGTTTCCAACTCAATAACCCAGTAAGGCTTTTTTTGTATGTACCTGACATAAATATTTCGTTCAAGCTTGGATAGAAAATATCAATACGTTATTTGAGTACACGCTCAATCCTTGATCAAGAAATCGTCTGACAGACAGCAGATTATCTGAAAATGATTTCGCGCATAATAATTGTAAGTTTGACGTGTGATCAAACTTGTGTGTCGGTATTGATAGAGACGGGATTGAGCATTGTAAATAAAGACACTATGAATCTATGTGTTGTATAGTATAGATTGAGAATTCGGCATTTCGAGTTGATTCAGGTACATAAATATAAGGTAAAGTATTGCATTGTTTTCGTGATAATATATTAAAATTTTTATTAGCAACAACAGAGCTTCAATATCAACGTGACCGATTCATTGTAATGTTTTACGATTATAATTAATATTAAAACATCAAAATAATCATCAAAGATTTACTTAAAATTATTACCTACATTCACAACTGGTAAGCAGTACCCGGTTTTTTTTTCAAAATATTTTCCTGCCAAAATTTGAAATTTTTTTTCCCGCCAAATTTTGAAATTTTTTCCCGCCAAAATTTAAATTTTTCCCCGCCAAAATTCCAAAATTTTTTCCCGCCAAATTTCTAAAAATTTTTCCCGCCAAATTTCTAAAAAATTTTCCCGCCCAATTTTAAAATTTTTTCCCGCCAAAATTCCAAAAAATTTTCCCGCCAAAATTTGAAATTTTTTCCCGCCAAATTTCTAAAATTTTTTCCCGCCAAAATTCAAATTTTTTCCCGCCAAATTTCTAAAAAATTTTCCCGCCAAATTTTAAAATTTTTTCCCGCCAAAATTCCAAAAATTTTTTCCCGCCAAATTTTAAAATTTTTCCCGCCAAAATTCAAATTTTTTCCCGCCAAAATTCCAAAAATTTTTCCCGCCAAAATTCCAAAAAATTTTCCCGCCAAAATTCCAAAAAATTTTCCCGCCAAAATTTGAAATTTTTTCCCGCCAAATTTCTAAAATTTTTTCCCGCCAAAATTCAAATTTTTTCCCGCCAAATTTCTAAAAAATTTTCCCGCCAAATTTTAAAATTTTTTCCCGCCAAAATTCCAAAAATTTTTTCCCGCCAAATTTTAAAATTTTTCCCGCCAAAATTCAAATTTTTTCCCGCCAAAATTCCAAANTTTTAGAAATTTGGCGGGAAAAAATTTCAAATTTTGGCGGGAAAAATTTGTGGAATTTTGGCGGGAAAAAATTTTAAAATTTGGCGGGAAAATTTTCAAATTTTGGCGGAAAAAAATTTCAAAATTTGGCGGGAAAAATTTTCGAGAAATTTGGCGGGAAAAATTTGAATTTTGGCGGGAAAAAATTTTAGAAATTTGGCGGGAAAAAATTTCAAATTTTGGCGGGAAAAATTTGTGGAATTTTGGCGGGAAAAAATTTTAAAATTTGGCGGGAAAATTTTCAAATTTTGGCGGAAAAAAATTTCAAAATTTGGCGGGAAAAATTTTCGAGAAATTTGGCGGGAAAAATTTGAATTTTGGCGGGAAAAAATTTTAGAAATTTGGCGGGAAAAAATTTCAAATTTTGGCGGGAAAAATTTTTGGAATTTTGGCGGGAAAAAATTTCAAATTTTGGCGGGAAAAAATTGGAATTTCGGCGGGAAAAAATCGGAATTTTGGCGGGAAAATATTTCGAAATTACGTGGGTCAATTTTTGAATTTTGGCGGGAAAACAATTGAAATTGTGGCGATTTTTTTTGAAATTATAGGGAGAAACTCTCCAAAATTCGGTGGGAATACTTTCAAAACGTAAACCGGTAAAATTTCAAAAAAAATCCTGCAAGAAAAGCTCGAAAAATACCTGCTAATTGTTATATCACATGGAGTTATTCTCATTTGCGAAATTGATTGGGTTACTTGGGTTTGCTTTTTTTATTATTTAAATATCGCATGAGCTTAAAATTCGCCGTAACTCGTGCCATCATCCCTCATGTTACCTGATGTTAAAAAATCATAACTGCAATCATCAAGAAAAGTACTATTTTTGTTATGGTATTCTGCAAATATAAACAAGCGCTGAATATTGATATGATTATGGTTTTTTTAAAGTTATTGTAAATATCGAATGATATCGTATCATCACGAATGTTCTGTTTATTGGAATGGCTAAGCCAAAAATCCACTTTTTGATCGATTGTTTATTCAACACTAAATATAGTATATCCAATTACCTTGAATAAATTTGAACTTATTCTTTTTCATGTTCTGACCACATATAAAAAAGTTTAACGCTACAGCTCTAATTATGCACTGTTCCAATTGACATAAGCAAACAAATTAGAGCAAAAGTATGTGCCAATATGCAGTAATAACTATAATAAAAATGAAAAATTTTTGAAAAATACAACCTCTCGCTATTGATCCTGTTTCACCTACTTCTGTGACTCAATTGAAGTTGTTTTATTGAATTCTTGATAATATAATACTTCGCCAGAATTTTAACTTATTTTTAAGTCATTGAATGGTTGATATAAGTACGCCGTATGAATAGTTTTAGGCTTTCTAACCGTCGGTGGTTTGAAGGCTCATTGAATGAGAATGTTTATTAAATGAGAGGTTTATTAAATAATCACAACACTTTATGGAAAAAAAAACCTTTCGGTAAAAAAAAACCAATGTCTTTTATTCACTGTTTTTGTCACTTATACTTATACACGCATATACACACACACACAAAAGAATCAAGTTTCAACCAAGAAGGTGAATGAATTGCTATCGTTAGTCGTTTTTTTTTCTAGAACAATCAGATCCGTTGGATCGAAGCGCTCAAACTCTAATACCCCTTCCGATCATGCACATACTAGCCGTTGGCCAGCAATCACCGCGAGCACGCGCAGGAGTCGCATTTGTGCGTCTTTGTCGCATCACGTTCGTGACGCGACACCGTAGGGCGTGGGTTCGATCCCCACCGGACGAATTTTCGAGGTTCGTTTTTTCGCCTGGTGTGGTCGAGCCCGTGCCCGAGGTGGAGCGGGTACCACTCAAAAAGAAGACCCGGGCTATGTCATCAGCCTCCGAAGCGGTAAAAAAACCCCGATCACTGTGCGAGCTGGAAGCGATAGGATAACCATAAGTAGGAGCCCGAGGCGTGGACTCACAAGGCTGGCAATAGATGGAGCACAACACTCCCATGATGAAGTCGGAAGCGAGAACCACACTCACAAGAGAGCGCCGGATGCGAGGGCCAAGGCTCTGCTGGAGCGCATGATGGCGCCTGAAGCGAGAACCACACTCACAAGACGACAACAGAAAAGGAGGAGCACTCACAGGGTAGCGCCGGAAGCGAGAACCACACTCACAAGATGGCACTAGACAGCGAGTTCTAAAGAAGATGTCCAACTCAGGAGGAGATGCCAGCAATGTGTGACCACGCAGTAGACGGCTCTGAAGAAGGGGATACGACAATCGACGATGGCATCGCGCAGGATCGGAGGTTCACCAAAGTAGAAAAAAAATGAGTCCCAAGCCCAGCCTCACCGAAGCAATGCCTAACGGCGGATACCGGTGAGTGTCCGAATGGGGTGGAGTAGAAAAAAACACACACATACACACACACACACACACACACACACACAGCCTTCGTCGGTCTGGTGGGTAAAGGTGTTGGGCCATCTATCTGCTAGACCAACGCTGTGCTGAGGGAACGGGATCGATCCCCACTGAGGGAAATTTCATTCGTGAATTTCCGCTCGGTGGGGTCGAGCCCGAGCCCGAAGTGGTTCGAATTTCACTATAAACTGTAGGTCCACGGCTGTAGGCAGCCTCCTGGAGGGTGAAATATCCTCCTATCACCCTGCGGCCCAAGTTGAGAAGAATTCCCGCAAGATGGAGCCCGAAAGCCGGAACTCCTAGTGCTGATGTTGACCAACGGAGTGCATCATTCAAGAGGAAAAGCGCCGACACAAGGAAGAGCACCAACCCCTCGGCTCCAAGTTCGAATCCTTAGGGATGCAGCCCGATATCAGAACTTCTAGTGTTGGCGCTGACCAACGGAGCTTACACTCATCATGGAGGAAGCCAGAAAAAAGCGAGAGGTGCTCGCAAGAAGCGGAGATGCTGGACGGTGTCGGGCGTGAGACCGGGTCCTCTCTCACAAGGACGGCACTAGCCCAGCTTACGGCGAAGTTCTGACGAACGTACCGAAGAAGAAACATCAGCACAAGGGAGAGCACCGACAAAGACGGCTCCGGAAGGCGGGAATGACGCTGGATGAGGGCTCCGCGGGGCGAGCGTGGGATCACCAACGAGTTGACACGGTTCCTGAACCCCTGATCACCGCGCCTTAACGTGCGGTGGATGGGAGATGTAGGGAAATGACCAAATACATCGATGCAGCAGCACTGCTAAAAGGCACCCACCGAAGTAATGTCTAACGATGGTTCCGGTGGGAATCATGCCGGAGTTTGGAAGGGCCACTGGTGCAAGGGTTTACCCTGCCCACGCCGTCTCCATTAAAAAAAAAAAAAAAAAAAAAAAAAAAAAAAAAAAAAAAAAAAAAAAAAAAAAAAAAAAAAACACACACACACAAACAATGCAAACACACACACTTTTATCATGCAATTTTCGTGAATTTATAAAAATTTTGTTAGTAGAAACACGATTTTAATCCGCAACATGAGGACTGAACGATACCGTCACGCCGCGTAGTGGCGAAATTCTGTACTAGCGCACTAGGGCAATTTTGATGAAATAACATGGGAAACTCGATAAATGTACAAAATAATAAATGTTGCACAATGAATTTTGTACATTTATCATTTTTAATTGAAAGTACATACCTAGATATGAATTTAGAAATTTTAATCCTATTAAAAAGTTGATAAATAAGTGTTGATAAACAACATTTAATGTCAAATATCCGAGTGCCGCACAGCGTGTAAAAGTATCTAAATGCACCTAGAAGAAAAATGTAACGCATTATTTCGATGGAAAATTGCCTCAGCTTTCCGATGATGAGCTCAGATTTTCCGAAATTTTCCGCTTTACCCGGGAAAATCGACGGAAAAACTTTAAACTCAATTTTCCCGTATAAAGCGGAAAATTTTGGAAAATCTGAGTTCATCATCGGAAAGCTGAGGCAATTTCCCATCAAAAGTATGTGTTAGTTTTATTTACTAGATCCATTTAGGTACTTTTACAGCGAGTTACAAATTCAGCGATTTGACTGATATGGTGTTTATCAGCACTTGATTATTACATTTTAATAAGATTAAAATTGCTGAATTTTGTACATTTATCATTTTTAATTGAAATTACATACCTAAATATGAATTTAGCAATTTTAGTCCTATTAAAAAGTTGATATACAAGTGAGCAATTAAAATATAAAAAGTCTCGAAAACGTTATACGCACTTCGAATATGAGTTTCTTAGCGGACCACAGCAGAAGAGCAAAGTTGATATTAACCTTACGAGAATCGGTGCACTGCCGCGCGTGGCGCTAGTTGTAGTCGTCGAGTTTCTGACAACGCTGCGCTACGCTGCTATTTACCCGTACCAGTTACGTAAAAAACAGAACAATGATGGATAAGTTAAAAAAAAAAACGCTATTTGTTGTATCAAAGGATGTAATACAGTGAAACGAAATCGATTAGATAATATTAGTTTTTATCAGCCTAAAAGAGAAAAGTCAACGACGAACAAATGGTGTATAGCCTTAAAGGTTAAGAAACTGCCTGATTATCCACTTGTATGCCACGAGCACTTCTTGTCTGAAGATTTTAAACCTGGTAAAAATTTTTTCTAATCAATAAAATTATGTGTAAATTTTACACAGTGCATATATAATATATACATTTTCTTACCAGGTGCTGGACGTAAACGAGTTTTAAAGGAGGGCACAGTCCCAACTCAAAATCTCCCTATTTCTTTATTAACTGAAAGTACAAAAGATCCAGAACTATCATAGAAAAGAAAATGTAGATTGCAAGAAAGAGAACTTAAAAAGAAATTGTAAGTTGTATTAATTATTTTGCATATTATGAGTAGTAGATTGTGAAATTCATTATTTTATTATTTTACAAAATGCTGGATGCAGAAACAATTACCAGTTATTCTGAAACTGATTCAGTGACTAATCCTTGTATAAATGAACACAAAATGACAGTTGATTATGCAATTGATGCAAATGATGCAATTAATGACGTGGATTCCTATGGTGATGACAGTTCAGTCAACAACATACAACATTATGTGAGGGTGCTTTAAATAAAGATCAAAGTGTTCAAGTAGATATTAAAAAATATGACAAAAATATTCAAACAGAATATCAATCATCAGTTATTTCACACTTTTTCAACTCAGACAAAAAACTTTATCTTTTAAGTGGAATTCAATCAAATACTGTTTTGGATACACTTGAAGAGTGTATCAGTGATTTGAGACAATTTAACAAGAAAAGGTCAAGTAAAGTTCTATCGTTAAGAGAATGTATTTTGTTAACATTCGTCAAGTTAAAGCTGAATCTTAGTTATAGAGTAATTGCAGTTTGGTTTAACATATCACCTGAAATGTTTAAAAAATGTTTTATAAGTACTCTGAAAGAACTTGCTTTGGTTTTGGATAGTGTTTTACGATGGCCAAGTAGACAAGAGATTTTAGATAACTTGCCTAAATGTTTCAGAAAATACAATTCAACAAGAATAGTTTTGGACTGTTTTGAGATCCCGGTCAAACAGTCAAAATATTTGAAGTGTAGGATTCCAACATATTCAAATTATAAATCAAGAAATACGCTGAAATTCATGCTTGGTGTGACTCCATCAGGATTGATATCATACATTAGCAAAGCATATGGTGGTAGAGTTTCAGATAAAGCAATATTTAAAAAATCTTGTTTACTGGATAGAATGGTGAGAAGTGTAGATGCTATAATGGTGGACAGAGGGTTCTTAATTGACGCAGAATGTGCTGAAGTTGGAATAAAATTGATTCGACCATCCTTTTTAAAAAAAAAAGTACAAATGAGTCATAAAGAAGTCAGTTCGGGAGCAGACATCGCAGCTGCAAATATGTAGAAAGAAGAATCAAAAGAATACGTGAATTCTCAGTCCTACAAGGGCCAGTGCCAATAGAAATAGTGCCTTACATAAATATAATAATGAAAGTAATTTGTGCATTTTCCAATTTGGGTTCACCAATATTAAGCCAAAATAAATTTATTCAGGCATGATTAAATGTAATAAATAAAAATTTTCAATAACTTTTAAATATTTCCATTTTGTCTGACTTAATCTATCTTTGATTTTCGTATCACAATTACATTAATGATTAACATATATTAATTTTAAAGTTGTCCATGATTATCAATGTAATAATTAAACAAATAATAACAGTAACGCTAAATATTTTTAGCATTATTTTCTAGACATGGCAGAATGTGATTAAAATAGGCACTTTTTACCACGGCAAATAATTTTGTACAGTACGTTGCAGAATATAATATATCTATAACAATCATAGAATCATCAAAGGATGAATACACAACTAAGTGACACTTTGTAAGACCAAGAAGCATCATTCCTAATTGCACTTGAGCATAATATTTATGATCCTCTTTCAGTATTTATTGATTAATAATTTCAATGTATCCTAATTTAGGAACAAGTTCAGATACTGTCTTTTTCTTGCCATCAATTGAACATTTTACTTCAATTAATATTTTTGAATTTAAAAGAACTTCATCTGCACTATATCCTAGCCATGGACACATCAAATGAACTAAAATTCCAGCTTTGTCAATCTTGACTTGAAATACATTTTCATACTTTTTGACAGCCTTATCTTCATTAAGTATACCATGTTTGGTGTTAGTGTTAGCGTTAAAAAATATGCTTTGACACTTTTTCTTCCAATCAGGTTTTTGAATGAAGTAATATTTAAGTAATTCATAACGTGTGCTTCCTGTGATTCTGCACTTTTTTGCTTTTTTCCACACTTCATTTTTCTGTCCTAATGTTTTTAAAAAAAGGGTCTGAGAATCATCCCTCGTTAATTTTACATATTTGTCATAAAATTCAGATGTAAAATCAACATCTAGTTTTTGAGTTCCAATTAAATGTGTTCTACCCAGTAAATTATCTATAATTCTTGACTATATGAAATGGTGTTGATAAACTTCTTAGTCTGTCGTCTCTTAGAAAAGTGTATAGTAGCTTCACCATTAGGTGTACCTAAAATTTAATAATCATATATATATATGTATTTAAGAAAGTATTTAGATCATACAACTGTAAGAGCTTTTTTACTTACAAGATATTAGTCTATTAAAAAAAGACGTTTTTAATTTATCACTGACTTTATTATAATTAACTGTCACATCTTCTTTTTTAAAGTGACAATAATTATGAATGGGTAGAGCATTATTTACATAGGGATGATTAAAGAATTTTTTAAATTTTCCCCATTTTTGCCTTGAATCGGTGCAGCTTACTGGCTGTAAATTAGCTACTCTACTCCTGTTGTAATTTAAGTTACAATTATAAAGTATTTCTTGATTGAAATAGTAATTGTTCGTACTTACCTATTAATAAATAACAAAGTTGCAAAGATGTGTTTACATTTTCCACCTGTACCAGCTGGACAAGAACAATTACAACATATCTTTTTCGTCGTTTGAGTAACAGATATTTTTATTTTTACTTCATGTGGAGTATCATGAATTTTTGAAGATTTAACGACGTAAGAAACAAAATTAATACTTCTTTTATCTCTAGTTGTAAAACCACATAATAAAATATGATTTGCTAAGAGTACTGCCTCACCTTCAATCATCGGTCTTTTAGAATTATTCAAAATAACTAATATATCTTGCATATTAATTTCAAATTGACTGGAAGTTTGAGGCATTGTGAACAGTGAGAATGTTACATCGGTACTGAACTTGAATTGTACTAGTTAAAGCCAACTAGCTCAAACGAAACACAAAGTCAACAATACAATATCAACAATACCGATCGTGAAAAATGGAATTTCTTAATTACGAAATACAAGAGATTGAAATAAATTTTTAATAGGATTAAAATTGCTAAATTCATATTTAGGTATGTACTTTCAATTAAAAATGATAAATGTACAAAATTCAGCAATTTTCATCTTATTAAAAAGTTGATAATCAAGTGCTGATAAACAACATTTCACGTCAACTGCCGCACAGCGCGGCATTATTCAGTCAAATCGATGAATTTGTAACTCGCTGTAAAAGTACCTAAATGGATCTAGTAAAAAAAACTAATACATGATTTCGACGGAAAATTGCCTCAGCTTTTCGATGATGAACTCAGATTTCCCTAAATTTTCCGCTTTATCCAGGAAAATTGAGTTAAAAGTTTTTCCGTCGATTTTCCCGGGTAAAGCCGAAAATTTCGGAAAATCTGAGCTCATCATCGGAAAGCTGAGGCAATTTTCCATCGAAACCATGTATTAGTTTTTTTTACTAGATCCATTTAGATACTTTTACAGCGAGTTACAAATTCAACGATTCGACCAAATAATGCCGCGCTGTGCGGCACTCGGATATTTGACATTAAATGTTGTTTATCAACACTTATTTATCAACTTTTTAATAGGATTAAAATTTCTAAATTCATATCTAGGTATGTACTTTCAATTAAAAATGATAAATGTACAAAATTCATTGTGCAACATTTATTATTTTGTACATTTATCGAATTTCCCATGTTATTTCATCAAAATTGCCCTAGTGCGCTAGTACAGAATTTCGCCACTACGCGGCGTGACGGTATCGTTTAGTCCTCAATAGTCATATGATGGCTTGCCGAATTTTTGACAAAGAATTGCGTGTCTCTGACACCAGGTAACGCGGGAGCTATTGCGTCGAACAGAGCATCTCTGATGTCAATCTCGATGAGCTTTTGAACGTCGGGTATTCAATTGTAAATTCGAACTAAGTCATCGAACCTGTCCCAGAATTCAGACGCCTTTTCTCGGAGAGGCTGGTATTTAATGCTGTTCAATTTTTCACTAAAAACTTATGGAGTAATGCTTGTCTCGTTGAACTTTAGCTCTTTAATCCTTTTCAATAGGTCAATCGGATCTTGAAGATGGGACACCTTAGTGTAGTAAGACATATCTATTCTGTTTATAATATCTCGCACTCTAATTTTGTCCTTTTCGAACTGTTCAGGGGACAAACAATTTTTCCTGGTGATTTTTGAATCAATCACGTACATTAGATCAAACAACGTGAGTTCAGAGGTTGGAAAGTCAATAAATAACTCGAAAGTTACATCGCTGGTTAGTTTGCACTCTCTTCTACCTGAATTCACTTTGTTTGACACCTCAATCTGAATTTTATCCGACAGGTCGAGCTCCCCATTACTAACTTTTATATAACTAATTTCATCTCTGATGGTTTGAGAAATGAAATCGCGATTTAGATAAACATTTTGAGGTCTTACCGAACTTTTCGATGAACTTTCGCTCATAATAGCCTTTTCTCATTCATCTCATAATTTGTTTTCTACGTCTTTTTACGAGCACTTAATAGTTTAAACAAGCTTACCTCTCGATACCGAAAAGGATTTACTCTTAAACGTGGAATCCATTTCACTAGCTGTGGAACACAAAAAAAATTACTCTCTAGCTCTGTAGTCCGGTGTGGCAATGAGCACAATCGCACATCGGTGTTTAAATCCTTCCGCCATACCTTTACGAGCAACAAAGACTTTTTCTAGCTTTGTTTTTTTTCTCAGCAGTGGAAGCGTACTGGGCCCATAACCTGTTGTTATTATCTTTGAGTTCGACGAGGAATAGCAACAGGAACAGAAAGGGTTGAATAAACACTTATACAATTCATTTATAAACACACACAAAACTTTATGGAAAGAATGGTAATTTAGATTAATATTCAAGATTTAGTTTATATCGAACGTATCTACGAGTAATCGAACTTATTAAACAAAAGAGAACAAAATACTTGATAAGGAAAAAGTTAGAATTGAGTTTAAACATGCGCACTTGACGGTGTGCAAAGACCGAGTGAGTAGGTAGAGACGGGGCCGGCAGGCACGAAGCGCTCTTGTCTCTCTTGCTGGCGTTGCATGGTAGAGCAGCGGCCCTACCGTATCGATAGGCAGTGATCACACCAACCCAACACATTATAAGGTTGTAACTTGCCCTGAAGTGCTATAGTTCAGCTTTGACTCTATGTGTATTATATATACTTCATACCAAAGTCTACAATGCAATTATTCTGGCGTGTAGATTTCGTCTACAATGCAATTATTCTGGCAATATAGCTTCAAGTTCTGTGAATAACAATTTTACGAAATTGAATTGAATTTTTTAGACGCGTAGTCTGAGATTCACACAACTCGCCTATTCCACAAAATTGTGATCCCATGTATCACATTTTAAACGTAACATTTAATTTCGCTCCTATGAGTGGCTTGAATTAAATTACACCGTGTTATTTCATCATCAAGCCTCATTACATCCGAAGTGCGTCTTACAAAATTAGCTTATCTTTTGCCAAAATCGTTTACCGACTCTCTTTTCTTTTGAAACAAGTCTAAGATCCCCGCATCCGTTTGGTATCTATGTGTGATCCACGTGGAATCTTTGTCCGATCTGCGTGGTATGCATTTTTGTGGAATGAGAGATGAGTATGTGAGTGAAGGAAGTAGAAGAAACAAAGGAGAGAGCTTGCAGAAAAAGAAGCTTAGCAACGAAAAATCGGAGTCTGTTGGTTGTTGAGCGTCGATCAGGACGCAACGCTTGAGAGAAAGAAAATAAACTCATATTTAATTAAAGTTATCGAGTCATTCTCTTTTTATACGATCCTACATAGGGGCTCGTTCTAACTTTTTATAATCAGATACATTAATTATTGTCGATTAGTGCACGAATCGCATAATTGGTTTTCTGATTTCAAAGGCCGTTTTATAATTGGCATGAGAGGCGTGAAGTAAAATCGTCTCTCAATCCTGTGTGGTTCTGTGTGGTCATCTAATTATATTACCTGTGTGGTTATATACATAAAATATTTTTCTTTTTTGCAAGACAAATTATTAATATCATTACGTCGAAGAAAAAGTTAACCTCAACGCCGACGCGCATTCAGCCTTCACGAACAGCCAAGCGTTATACCATAACCGGGATGGCTGAGATCGATGAGTTGCGATGTCAAAATGCGGAACAAATGGCGACGATTGCAGCTATGAATACTAGGATGGAAACTCTTCAGGAGCAGCTGAAAGCTTTATTGGATGAGCGAACAACTGTCCAAGTGGCGTTACGCGAATCTCAAGATCGAGAACTGGAAGTTGAATTTGCACGCCGTGAAGCTGAAGCCGCGCGTGAAGCAGTGGAAAATGAGAATCGACGACTTCAGGAAGAAACTGCAGCGGCACGTGAAGCAGCGGAAAATGAGAATCGACGACTTCAGGAAGAAACTGCAGCGGCACGTGAAGCAGCGGAAGATGAGAATCGACGACTTCAGGAAGAAACTGCAGCGGCATGTGCGACAGCAAACGGTGAACAACGACAATTTCAAGGAGCAATTGGGCAACACAATCAATTTGACCGTCCCAGGTGCGATCAACAGCATGATGCTTTCGCAGCTAACATTTTGGCTGATGCTAATCAAGTCCCAAGATATTTTCCGTCTTCGTACAATAATTATCCTCTAATTCCTAGCAGTTCTAATTTGCATTATTTTGAGGATAGACTTGGGCGACGTCTTACAGCCAGTACGACGATGGACTCACTGCCTAAGTTCTCCGCGAGTAATACTACGCAAACAGTCAAGAAATGGATCGCTCGTGTAAACGAAGATGCAGAAATAAACGAATGGACGGAGAAAGAGACGTTTGTAGCGGCAAAAAGAGCTTTGGCTGGTGCGGCACGTCGTTGGTTTGACAGCCAAGAAGGAATTAAGACTTGGTCAGTATTGCAGCAAAAATTAAATGAAAATTTTGGTCGCGCATTAAGATCTTGCGATGTGCATGAAAAGTTACGTAATCGCAAGCGTAAAAAAGATGAAACAGTCGAAGAGTACGTGCGTGAAATGCAGTACATTGCGTCTCAGGCTAATTTAGCTGAAGATGTTGTACAAGAATATACAGCCATTGGTTTCACTGAGGACAAATATGCGCGTGCCACACTCATGACTGCTCAATCTTCTTCGACTTTCAGAGATCTATTGGAAGCTTATAATAAGCTGGGTTTATCTGTTAATCATGCATCCCACAGTGAACAAGCTCCTGCTAATAAATTTCGAGACAGAAAATGTTACATTTGTCAGAAAATAGGTCACATCAGTCGTGATTGTAAGCAGAAATTCAACGAAAAAAAAGCTGATGAGAGCGTTTTGCAGAACGAACAAAAATCATATAATCAAGAAAAACCGAAGATTAGGTGTTTCAAGTGCAATGAGTTAGGTCACATCGCTCCCAAGTGTCCAACGTCAGTAAAAAATAAGTCTGCTTCGACGCCAGTAGTCAATCACATCGTATACAAGAGTGGCAACCGCAGTTATTTATTTGGAATCGTTGGTGGTGAAAATATTCGATGTCAAATCGACAGTGGTGCCGATCGCAATGTTATGCGTAAGGACTTTTACGATATCATAGCTGCGAAATATGCATTGGTGAATGAACATGTGACGCTTCAAGGCTCTGGTGGCTTAATATATGCAATTGGCAGTGTTAATGTTCCTACAATTTTAGGCGGTTCAATGTATAATCTTACTTACACTGTGGTTAATGAAGATTGTTTGCCTACTAAAATACTAATAGGTGACCCAATTCTTGATTTAGCTGAAATTAAACTTCACCGAGACGGACCGTCAATTGAACCACTAGTAGGTAATGATTACGTGCTACTCATTGAAGAGGAATGCGAAGAAAAAAGTCCAATTGAAATTGCAGTTAATCGTGTTCCTGAATCTTATCAAGCGCAGGTGCGTGAAGTTTTACAGAACTATAGTTCTAGTACGCCGTCCGAGACTTCATTGAAAATGTGCATAAAAATCAAAGATTGCAAGCCGATAGCAAGTCATCCACGACGTCTCTCTCCTGCTGAAGAAGCTGAAGTTAGACAGCAGATTGACGAGTGGGTTCGTTGCGGTATCGTCAAGCCAGGTGCATCAGAATACGCAGCTCCGCTTGTTGTGGCTTGGCGCAAGGATGGAAGAATACGAGTTTGTATAGATTACAAAAGGCTCAATAAGGTCGTGGAGCGAGATCACAACCCATTACCTCTTATTGAAGATGCAGTGGACGCTACAGCAGACTCAGTAGTTCATTCAGTAATGGATTTGAAAGATGGATTTTTTCATATTGATGTCGCTGAGGAATCACAGAAGTATTTGGCGTTTATTACTCCATGGGGTCAATATATTCCAATGAAAGCTCCATTTGGTTTTTGCAATTCGCCACCCGTTTTTCAACATTACATTCGCCAAGTATTTCAACCTCTCATTGAGAAAGGAGTAATTATTATATACATGGATGATATTTTTATCAAAGCTTCAAACGAATCGGAAGCTTTTCAACGATTGCAAGCAGTACTTGAATTGGCGAGTGTTCATGGACTAAAATTCAATTGGAAAAAATGTTATTTGCTACAAAGACGAATTGAATTTCTCGGTTATGTCATACAAGAAGGAGTAGTAACACCAGCTGCAAACAAAATTGAAGCGCTCCGTACTTATCCTAAGCCTGTGACTCAAAAGCAACTACAACGTTTTTTGGGATTAACTAGTTATTTCCGTAAATTCATATTTCATTATGCTAAAATGGCCAAGCCTTTAAGTGATATGTTGCGCAGCAGTGCAAAGTTTATATGGGAAGCACCTCAAGAGAAAGCTTTTCAAGATTTGAAATCAATACTTATGAATGCTCCTGTTCTTCAATTATATCGGCCTGATCGTGAAACTGAGTTGCATTGCGGTGCGTCGAAAGATGGTTACGGCGCCATACTTTTGCAGCGATCGCCAGACGATAAAGCCTTTCACCCAGTTTACTACATGAGTAGGAAAACAACTGAAGCTCAACGAAAGTACCATAGTTATGAGCTTGAAACTCTTGCAGTTGTGCGTGCTTTAGAAAAGTTCAGGATTTATTTACATGGACTGCATTTCAAGATTGTGACAGACTGCAAGGCGTTGCAGCAAACACTGAACTGCAATGACTTAAAACCTAAGTTGGCAAGATGGGCTATGCTTTTTGAGATGTTCGACTACTCACTTGAACATCGCGCAGGATCGCGGATGCAGCACGTCGATGCGCTTAGCAGAAGAGACTGTGTATTGCAAATTCATGATCCAATAATTGAAAGACTCATGTGGGCGCAGGAATTTGATGAAAAGCTTCAAGCTATTCGCTCCATTCTTCAAGACAGAGCTTTTAAAAATTACACCCTAGACAACGGGCTTGTCTATGAAGATAGGGGTGGTAAGCGATTATTAGTCGTGCCAAAAGGAATGCGTGAGGAAATTATTAAACGTGCACATGAATTTGGACATTTTGGTGTGAAGAAGACGATGGAAAAGTTGCTTCAAGAATTTTCTATGGAAAACATGCAAAAACAAGTGGAAAAAGTCATTAGCAGTTGTGTGCCATGTATTCTAGGAGCAAGGAAAGAAGGCAAGCAAGAAGGATTCTTACGACCGATTCCAAAAGAAGATGCTCCTATGCACACTTGGCATGTTGATCATATTGGGCCTTTGCCAGCTACTTGCAAGGATTATCGCCATTTACTGGTTATAGTAGATGGATTTGCTAAATATACGTGGCTTTTTGCAACAAAAACAAAGAATTCGGAAGAATCTATTAAAAATTTTAAAATTTTGCAACAGCATTTTGGTAATCCTGACCGGTTGGTTACGGATCGTGGTGGAGCTTTAACGTCTGTCGCTTTCGAAAAATTTTGCAAGATTAATAAAATTGAGCTTCACGCGGTGACAACTGGAGTGCCAAGAGGAAATGGTCAAGTGGAGCGTGTGCATAGTGTTCTTATTGCCATTTTCACTAAAATTACCGCTGAGGAACCTAAAACGTGGTATAAGTATTTAACACGTGTGCAGCACGCTGTAAATGGTACTTATCATCGATCAATAGCAATATCTCCATATGAGCTTTTATTCGGAACAAAGCTGAAGACACCTCAAGATTTTAAAATTTCTGAGCTAATGGATAAATTACGTCAAGAAAATTATGATCAATCAAGAAGTCAGTTACGTAAGGTTGCAGTAAAGCAAATTGACAAGGTGCAGCGAGAAAATTGCAAAGCTTTCAATTCGCATCGAAAACCTGCTTTTCAGTATCGACTTGGTGATATTGTGGCTATAAAGCGTACGCAGTTCGGCTCAGGATTGAAGCTTGCGGCTAAGTATTTGGGACCTTATCAAGTTTCTCAGTTAAAAGGTGCTGATCGATATGAAGTAAGAAAATTAGGTGATGGAGAAGGTCCCCGGAAAACAAGTACTGCTGCTTATTTAATGAAGCCGTGGAAAGGTTTAGTGGACGATTTGGAGCCTGACGACTACGACGATGAGGCGGATATCTCTGAGCTGTTTGATGGAAATAATAGTGGCAGCGATGAAGATGAATTATTGTGTGACGAATGAATTTTATTTTATGTTTTGAAATTTGTGTTATATTCCATTCAAATTCTTTCTGTTTTAAATAATTTAATTTGTTTTTGGATTTATTGCTCGTGGTCGAGCTGATGTCAGATATGGCCGTGTGGAATGAGAGATGAGTATGTGAGTGAAGGAAGTAGAAGAAACAAAGGAGAGAGCTTGCAGAAAAAGAAGCTTAGCAACGAAAAATCGGAGTCTGTTGGTTGTTGAGCGTCGATCAGGACGCAACGCTTGAGAGAAAGAAAATAAACTCATATTTAATTAAAGTTATCGAGTCATTCTCTTTTTATACGATCCTACATGTCTAATCCTTGTGGATAGCTAATCCACGTGGATAATACACGTGGATATCCGTACAATTTTTTTCAAGTGGGTTAACATATTATTTTCATTACTTTATCGCACTGTTTTTTAGAGTATAAATTAAGTAAACAGAAAATTGAATTTTTCACTTCTATTAATAAATTCAAAAGCAATGAAACTCACTCGAATAATTTTCTGCCAGTTTCCCATATAAGACCAGAATTATCGCAATTTTTTGGAGAGTCTATAAGTTTATCAGTCAAATTCATTTCTCTCAAAGCTGTGACCAACACGTACCTGAAACAAAATATGCTGTCTAAGAAACTGCAATCAAAAATATATAATAAAAAGTAAAAAAACTAGTTTTAATGTGAGTTTTCTTTTATAATTATTAGGCTGTTTTTAAAAAGTTGAAAACCACGATGTAATAATCTTAATGACTTCAATATCACAAAATATGAAGCCAGTTTCAGCTCTGAAGGGGACAGACTGGTTTTTCACACTGTAATTAAAAAATATCTATATACTGTGTTCTACCCAAAATATGTCATGCCTAATATATTTTTTTTTTGTAAAGTGAAGTACTTCTACAATCGAGAATCCATTTACTATTGCTATCGTCTGTATAATTCAATTCACTTATGCACGCGAAGTAAAAATCATCTTCGGCTACACTCGCATGTTGACCATTGTTATGACTATCATTGTTGTTCTTCGATCTACAGTGTAATGCTATAATACCTTTTCTTTTAAACCTGATACAGGTCACATTTAAAAACTTATTTCTCTTGTCCTTGAATTTAGACTGTCTTCAACTTTCTCATTTTTATCTCTATTATAAGTTTTATTGAAAGAGGCAGCCATAGCACGTGTGGAATCAGAATTGGAGTTTCTCTCCTGTGATCTTTCCAAAATTTTTACTTTGAGCACATCCGCTTTGAGCAATTCATCTCTTGTTTCTATGAGAAGATGAAAAATTTCAAAAGAGGCTGGCAAACTATACAACATCATAATTGAAACCATTACGTTCATGAATGTCCGTGATAAAGACATAAGAATGAAAATGGTCCTATCATGAACCAGAGTTTGAAAATTGAAGTGTGACAATTTTATGGAGATAATTTTTCGATTCACTAGTAGACTAATTTGTGTCAGTCATAGACTCACAGTATTATCATATGTGCCTAGCATAGTAATGCTCTACGACCCTGAGGAAGTAGGCAAAAGGGCAATGAAAAACGTTGATCGGTGTTCAGTAAAATAGTATATTTTGCACCTAGGGAGTGAAAAAACAATTTTTTGTGAATCCTCCGGCCTAAAGTAACATTTTCATTTCGCTCAGTGGAAGTAAAATGTTACTTTAGGGTGGGGTAGCACAAAAAAGAAGTTTTGACGACCTATGAGGTAAAATTTTGTGTTGTTATTTTCCTGACGATGTGAATTTTTGTTGTGGTGAAAGAGCCGTACTGGGTACTACTTTCACTGCTGAGACTATATAAATAATGCAGTAAAATAACGAAATTGTATTTTCCAAAGGATTGTATCTTACTACTATAACAATACTAGGGGACTCTGTCCCCCTGCTCGCCCCACTCGCCAATCCCCCGATTAAGTTTAACACTTAAATAAAAAAAATAATGATATTTTTAATTATAAAATGGTCAAGTATTTTATTGATAAAAAATTTAAGAAAAAAAAAATCTGTAGAAAAATAAATTTTGTATAAAAAAATTTTGTAAAGCAGTTACAAAATATACGTTATTGTTATCAATTTAACTACACTCGGTAACAAAATTATCGGAATAAAAAATTTCAGCAAAATTCAAATGCTTCTATTTTGGGCAATAGGCATAGATGTGCTATATGCATGATAATATACATGACACTTATGCCCGACTCCTACACAGAAAGAAAGGGAGGCTCTCTTAGCCCCCTCTATCAGCGAGCACTGCTCTTTGTGCGTTTGGTGCGAAGCCGTTCGGATTTTGTAGCAGTGTGACTCTAAGTTGGGCGCGATTCGATCCAAAGTCGCCGGGACGACACGGGCGACTCGAACTTGGGATCGAATCGCGCCCAACTTAGAGTCACACTGCTACAAAATTCGTACGGCTTCGCACTCAACGCATAAACAGCACTGCACGCCTATGTGGAGGCTAAGAGCGCCTTGTTTTCTTTCCGTGTATGGCAAATTCCCGGCCATTGAAAAAAGACGGGCAATGGTGACAAATTTTTTTTAAATTAAATAAAAAATTGAAATTTCATTGTAATTTTCCAATTTTAATATATATTATAGAGCTTCAGCTTCCCTTTCCAATGATAGTTTCAGTTTTGAAAAATTTTAAAAATTCGCTTCTGGACGCAAGTTTGAATTTTGGGTTGCACTCATGCCCGCCTCTCTCCTATTTATCGTATCGACACGATTTTTTTAAATCACTTGTGAATTTCACGTGATTTATGCATGATTTTCGCGTGGTTTTCACCATTATTAATTTATTTTTTTGTAACTGCTCCCCAAAAATTCCACTGCTCTTCCACGGGGAGCAATTTTTACAACTCCTCCACTGCAAATCCACCGGGATTTAGGTACTTTTATATAATAATATAGTTAAATTGATAATAATAACGTATATCACTTATAACAATTATATGTGATAGGTACTTTTATAATAATACAAAGGTACTTTTATACATAGGTACTTTTATAATAAACAACAAAAAATTTCATCGAGATTTTGTCGATTTTTAAATGCTTCTATCTTGGGCTATATTTATCGTATCGACACGATTTGTTTTGCTTTTTTAGAAATATTGTCTTCTTTAAATCCATATATACTATGATTAGGTTCGAGTCAATATCAAGTTAACAGTAGTATTTGAGCACAACACTAAAAATTACTGAAAAAAATTGATTGCTTAAGGTGGTTCTTTCAGTTTAAGTTTTACTATAGTGAACTTTTGCCTAGAGCTGTATATTATGTATGCGAGCCTGAACGCAGCTGATTCACTTTGACGTGAAAAATCTGCCCTGTTTTATGATGTACAGGCTGAAAGATGAGGGTTTTTTCTATAAACCCTGTACACTCCGATACCCTAACAAATTAATGTTTGCTTATAAATAATTGATGAATGTGGGCGTTCTATAAGGCTAATATTAAAAATAATATACACTAAATAACATACACTAAAATAACATACACTATTACAAAGTACTCTTTTCAACGAGTAATTTAAAAAAAATAGAGCCCTCTACGATTTTTTAACGTCCTGTAGGTCGATTTGAAGATACTATTTTCTGGGCATTTCGCGTACACCTTCATGAAACATGAAAGTAAATGTTATTGTAGAAGTGCTGAAGGACCTCTACAATATTTTTTGTTACGAAGGTGCTGAAGGACCTTTGTAGCAATGAGCTTTATTGCAAAAGTACTGAGGGACCTTTGCAATAAATGAAAGCAGTTGATATTGTAGAAGTACTGAAGGACCTCTACAATATTTCATAGATTTTGTTACAAAAGTGCCGAAGGACCTTTGTAACAAGTCGAAAAAGATTTTATAGTAAAGGTGCTGAAGGACCTTTACGATAAATAGTTGTTAGTAAGATTAGGATAACTCGGGTAAAAATGATTGTATAGGCTTTAATTAAGGGTGAAGTCCCAGCAGCCTAAGCAACGCTCGAGTCAAACGAGTCTGTTAAAGTTACTTTAGTAACTAGATCTAGTAAGTAACTAAATCTAGCGAACTTTACTCAAAACTAGGCAGTGAGTGCATTGGTACTGAGCACCTATGCTGCTCGTTAGACTGCCTTGGTTTGACTGAGTATTGAGACTGATTCTTGCCTCTGAGGAGGCCCGTATTTATACGCTTTCTGCGGAGTACCCAAAAGTGGGGACGAGCAACCATCGTGTTGGACCGATCGGCGGGCGTTTGTGGCAAACTGACTTTATTGATTTTGCTTAAAAACTATTACAATGAAAAATATTAACTTAAAATTATGATACAAAATTGTGCTATGGTGTTACAAGTGTTTTCATATCAAATATTATACAGTGCAGTGAAATATACAGTAGTGAACGACTTGTGTAAAAAAAAGTGACGTTATGCAATAAATAAATAAAGTGCTGTTTACAATAATGTTTTTTGATAGAAGTGTTCTAAATGTATTTTGATGTGAATAAGTTAAATAAAATAAAATGATTTGATTAATATTTTAAGCTGTAACATAGTTGTAACTGTTCATAGAAATAGTAGCATATGTTGTATGATGACTCGGCAGTTTCAAGGTTACGCCGATTCATCAATCAATTTGTATATTATAACTTGTGATTTAAGGTCTGAACCTATTTAACATAAGAATACAAGTATCCTAATAAAACATCGCTAGGTGTTATAATTGTTTTGTTCATTATTTAAATTAAATAAAAGTTCGCCATGTGAATGCACATGGTGATATTTAAGTTCCAAATTTAATTATTAATATAAATGTTTGTGGTTTTATTTTTATATTTTCTGATAGCTTGTTTTATTAAGCGTCGTTTAATTTTATTGTTATGTACTTATTATTAATTTTAATATTATTAATAAAAGAGTAAAACCTATGGTAATTATGGTAAGGTAGATTATGATAATGTAGTATGGTGAGGAATGGTAAAGAATGGTAAAACAACGGTACCGGCGCAGGCATAGATGTTATGATTGGGAATTTCGGTGCGTTGCCGCCTTATTCAAAAAGGAGACGTAGCTAGCTATGTAGGACGTCACACCAGACAAAAAAATCGATCTTTTTCCAAAAGTTTGTGTAAAAAAAATTAAATTATCTCAACCTGAGTACCTGTTAAAAGTTTGATGGTAGATAAAAAATAAAGAAGTATCTAAAATTTTAAAAGCATCGGTTCATTACTGTTTGAGTTACATTTCACATGGATTTATAAAACGCCTTTTTGTGAAATCTATATGTTAAGAGACACACAATTTTTATTTGTCGAAATAACATTGTTCAAATTAGTGAGAAACGTAACACAAAAAGTATTGATCCTATTCTTTTGGCAAGTTTTGAAGAAGTATTAAAGATAATTTAAACTTCATATTTTGAACATTACAAAATATTGTAAAAATATCATAAAAACGTACAAACTATCTTTGATGTGACTCTTTTCATCAGTTGCATTTATTAATCTGAGTCCTAAGGCACCAGTCGGTATATTTTTGGAGTTGAGAGCTTGCTCAGTTACAATCCAAACTGCACCAGTACCTGTCATATTCATTTCTGCTGCATTTTTAAAAATAACATCTGCATCTTGTTCGCTGAAACAATACAATATGTAATAAATAAATTAGGATGGTTTCTCAGAAAAATTTAATAATCAATGTTCCACTGATAGTCTAGTCAAATTAGTTTCGAACGTGAAAAAATTCGCAACCGGTGTTTTTCACCGGGATTCGTTAGGGTTCGATGGTAGGAATGAAGTAATAACAAATGCTACAGTTAAGTCGATTGAAATTTCAACATTTGGGCCCTTTGAAATTAGGAAAATCGGTTTTTCGGCTACAGATTGAAAACCGTACATTTTATGAAAAAAAGTTTCAAACAAAAATTGTAGGTTCTTGCAAGACCTTCAATTTGACATATATAACATTGGAAATCGGTTCATTTGTTTTTTTAAAAACGCCTCAATCGTCAATAACTCAACTGTGGCATTTGTTATTACTTCAATCCTACAATCGAACCCTAACGAATGTGTGTGGTGAGAAACGACGGTTGCAAATTTTTTCACTTTTAACATAGAGTCAGATCTAATTAGACTGGACTATGATACAAAAAACAGTGTAAAATCATACATCAAATTTCAGAATGCAAATTTATCAATTTTGTGAATATGGTTGAAGCCGAACCATCAATTATTGAAAATAATGAGCTGTGCTTATTTAGCGAGAATTGGAAAAATAACATGCTAGAGTGTCCCTTCATTTATTTTTGATTTTTTGAAAATTTTAGATGATTATTAAAAATTTTTTTTTTGGGGAGGGGGGGGGTATATCTCTTAATCATTATAACTATTGATGTTCCGAAAAATTGTACATAAAAAGGCTATGCTAATTTACGCAGTTCAAAAAATGGATTTTTTAAATTTCATTCTTGGAAAGTAAATATCTTCGAGAAGATTGTTTCAAAATTTCAGAGGAATAGGAGCCTTTTAAGTACACTCTCTCCCACTTGAAGCACTCGAATCTCCTAGTGCGTGTGTACACAAAAAAACTTTAAACGCATTTTTCAATACAGTTCCGGTGATTTCTCGAAAACTATTTGTCTGCAATTTTAACTACATATTTAATACGTAGTCACCTACCCAATGATTGAAAGCATACCAGTGAATGAAAGCACTTATTTAAATAAAAATTATTAATTGATAACGACATTATTCATGAACGACGAATTTTTATGCTATTCTTGGGTATTATTGCTAACTATTCGAAAGATTATCAGATCCAGAATCAATATAGTTTAACGATAGGAATTAATTTACGAACGCATCGTTCGCTGAGCCGTAAAATATGGTCATTTTGTACTGTAACGGAAAAATAGATTTTCGCGTTAAGGGGGGAAAGGCACCTAAAATCTCAAAAAAAAAATTTTTTTTTTATTGACTTTTTGATAGGATTTTTCCTCAGTTTTCTAGTGCCGTGATCGGAATTTCAAAATTTTAACTGTATCGTGATGTACAGCCTATTTAGTACCGTTACTTTTACGATTTTTTAGAAAAAATGAACTCAAAGATATATCGTTGCCATTCTCTCATGAATCTCGAGACTTTCATAAGTCGGTACGCCATCTATTGATACTCGTTTCATTCTTTGGTTAGAGTACATCAAGCAGAAATTTGTTTGTTTACATGGCTATGGGTATAAAGTAACGCCACCACTCGCAGCACGTGGGTTTCGGCATATCTTCTGTCTCTCTCAGTTTCGTGCGCGAGCCCGGATCAAATGTCAATAACAGTCTGCTGACTGCTTCTTGATTTTCCAATAGCTAAAAATAACATTTTTTTGAAAGTGAAAAAAGTATATGTAGACTGCAATTATATCTTTGCAACTAAACATAGTGTTTCATAATGAAGCTATAAAAATGTTTCAATAGTTTTTCATGAAAATGCGACATTTTTAGCAGTTCAAATTCAGGAAATACAGCAGTACATATGTCAATTGACATATATACATCAGTGTATATGTATGTCACTTATGTATGTGTATATGACTGTATCATATATCATATATATTATTGTATGTTGCATGTTATAAACAAGATTAGTGATGATTGATCAATTTAGAGTGATTTCATTTCCAATTATAGATTCAGTGATTAATGTTTTATGAATGTTAGTGAATAGGTAGAAGACTGAGTTCAAGTTCTAATGTGAGATTGTGCATATTTGTGTGAAAAGTTGATTTGGACATAACAAATTAGTTACCAGTTTCCACATAAAACCCATATTAGCGTATACTAACATTTTAATACAAATTATAAAATGTTTTAATGAAATTGGCGCATTTGGCTTTATGTGGCTGTCTGGGTTAATTGAACATTGTCCTTGTGGGTCCAATATGTTGAAAATTCCAATTGAATTACTGTTTTTTATTGTCCAAAAAGTTTTAGGCAGCCTCAGTGACATGAGAGTATCATTATGACATATATTGGTGTATTTTTGTTTTTTTGAACTCTTGGGCAGTTACGTTTCATCTCAAAAATGCTTTGTTGCCGTAACTTTCCATGTGAACCATTTGAGCAAATGAGCTGAAATTTTCAGGGATTGTTCTTGTTGGGAGCCTTTCTACATAGCGCAATCAGCGCGGGGCTTCTCAGCCTCCCTTGCAGGCCCCAATTTCATGAGCGTGTGTTCGCCGAGAGATTATAGAGTGAGTGCTCTCTGGCGCCGCCTATCGACACACACGCGTCAGTTGGTTGCTGCTGTGCACTCGAGCAGGACACGAGAGTAAACCACGCTTTGCTTATTCTTACTTAACATTAAATAAATAGTCATACGATTACAGAAATAAAGTGTTCACTGTTTTTTTCCCATCACAATTTCCTCTCCGGCGCTAGGACAGTAAATTTGATTTTAGTCCAACAGATTATGGGCCCAGTACGCCGAGAGTGATAATACGTGAGATAGTGAACAAAAGAGATAAAAAGTTTGTTTTGTAAAGAAGCATAGAGGGCAAAACTCTTCAAAGATGAACAACGATCAAACTACAAAAAAGTAAGTAATTCCTTATGTTCTATTGCGTATAGTAGTAGAGAGATATTTAACGCATAGTTACATATTCGGAAGGGTCGTGTTCCTTTTTGTTGTTTTTTTTTGTCGTTCTGTGTGCGGTGCAGGACATAACATAGCCTCGTTCTTTTCTTTCATAGAGTTTTCCACCATAGATTATTAGAGTTAATAAAAAAATTTTGTCATCCATTGTTCGACCCTGACAGGCGCGAAACAAAACATCGCGACAAGCCGTACGAGTTCGAACGTGTTTACGTACACGGCGCACCTACTGCGCAGCACGTGCGAGAACACGTTGCCACATATATACACATACAAGCGCGTGCGAGAGACCGTCATTTGCCGTGAGCAAATTTGTAAAAGATGTCGGCCATCTTGTATAGAGTAGAACCGTGGCTTTCTTCCTCGACGGGCAAGAAGCACGATGCGAGCGCGCAGCACATACATCGTGCGTATGTATAATCGGGTATATGTGTCGCCGCGTTACCGTCGTGTATACTGCCGTGCATATACATGTGCGTAATAGCGCGAATCCTTTTGGCACGATGCTCGCGCGAATTAAATAGGGCCGTGTATGTAGAATATTTGTATTTTTTTCAGAATGCGAGAGCATGCATGGAAGGTGCATAGTAGATATGCGCGTATTGTGATTAATCAGATCATACATAAATGTAAACAATCGGGAGGCTATTGCACAGCAACCGAATTAATATCTGTGCAGGTCGGTAGAGAAGGAGGCCTGTACACAAGTGCACGTACGTCTCTCCCAAACAGTAACGACAAAACAGTGGTACTGCTAGTCGGATTAGGAGGGAGTACTTGTGGCACGGGATAAACTCGATACCGACAGGCGACAACAGAACAATTCGGTCATATATGAATTCAGCGGTGCTGAATAAATACGCTGTTATACAATAAATCTAAATAAAAAATTCGTTTAGTTGGCCTAATCACAATACATTGAATTTTGTTTAACAGCACTGAAATCACGGAAGTCGCAGAGAACGGCACCCCTACCCCTATCGTCGATAAAACCTTGGAGAATGGGGATAAAAGAACAGATGACGAGTCAACTAGCGAAGGTAAAGAGTTATACCTAGCGTTCTTTATGTCGACTCCATAGAATTTTTTTTTCGAAAAAAAAAAATAATAATCAGTAAGTGCAAAGACAGAATACAGATCTGTACAGAGCCATTGAAAATCCATTAATATTTCTTTAATGCCTCTTTTAAAACGAATCTCAATTTTTCAATAAAATAACGTGTTTATTGAAAATTGTGTGGAGTGGATAGTTAAACAAATAGATTTGCTAAAGTACAGAGTTACGATTAAGCAATTTATGTGAAATACAAGTATACAAATTCCCTCATTATTTTTTTCATATTTGCATAAAAATTTAGGTAGCTCTGACGAAGATACGGACGAAGTTCTCGACAGACTCGAGGCTTTAGAGAAAGCTTTCGGGAAATAGAATGGACCGCCTGGCGAAAGCTGTCGACGTAATGGTCGAGTGGTCTTCCGACTTCAAGGCCCAGGCCGCCATCACACAGAAGGCCGTCCTGGATTGCCTGACCCTGCTCAAGTTGAATGCTGCAGATAGCGAGTCAGCTAAATCTTCAAATCCTCCGACCAAAGCCACCCTCAACACCACGTCACTGCTCAATTCAACAATAGCACCTGTAGATAGAGCCGGCTTAAATAATCAGTCTGTTCGCCCTCACTTGAACCCGCGTTTCCTAGGGTCAACTGCAGAGAATAATTCGAGACTAGAGACGTCCGGATTGAACTGCCAAAATAAAGTTAAAATAAAGCGCGACTACTGCCTTGATTCGAAAACAGACTATTCGGTCTGATTCGAATTCCTGAAATCGGAACTTAACTATTATGACCTACGCGACTACATTGACTCAGAGTGTGTCAGCTTTATCGACAGCGAGGTCGATAAGAAAAATTTGGAAAACGTTAGAGATCTGATTATAAGTAGGGTTGATAATATATACATCCCTCATGTCATAAAGTTAACCGATCCACTTG